GTTATACTGGATTGTTTAAGGAACTGTGACAAGAAAAACATCTTTACATGTTCAATACAGATGCAACTTCCTTTTTTAAGTATTTTCACTCCAGTTGGTTGGATCCTGGGATCAGAACCCATAGATTTGAATTCTGGGATCCAGAGCATAGAGATATAGGAGGTCACTCGAACTTCAAAGAAAGATGTAGAAGGTTGGAAATTTTTACTTGGCTCATAACTCACTGGAAAAAAATCTTTTGGTAACACCATGTGTACAGATTGAAAAGATACTCAGACTCAAACATGAACACTAGTCTAGATATCTAGTCAACTCCTAATCACTGGCAATATAATCACCCAGGCATACAAGGTATGACAGAAAAACATAGGGAACATTTACATTTAAAAAATTCTATCAGTAAAAGACATATTGCCATTAATTCCTTTCAAAATACTTCTCCTCCCTTGGAATACACTTAACCCATCATTTTTGCTGTTTTCTGAAACAGTTCTAGAAGTTCTCTGCCATGAGTGCCTTTAGTTACATTGTTGTGACTGCCTCAATGTCCTGAATTGATTGAAAACGTTTACGTTTCATGGTCATCTTGACTTTGGGAAAGCCAGAAATCACATGGTGCCAAATCTGGCAAATAAAGTAGATGAGGACACACTGTAATGTTTTTACAAGCCTGCCTTTCTGTTGGATGGCATTGGAGCAGCATTCACTGTCTTTCTAATCACACCTTATGAAAGAGGTCTTCCAGAACTGCTTCAGGAAGAGGCAAGAATGATGGGATAAATATGTTAAAGTACGTATTTGAGGAATATTCAGAGGGGGATTAATAGCAATGTGTCTTTGTAATAAAATTATTTATTTAAACATTCACTGTATATTTTCATCACAGTACTTGGTACCCTATGGTCCAGTAATTCTGCCACAAACCTGATGCTCACTGCTGAGGCCAAATACTCAACATAGAAATGTATTTCTAGCTTCCTTATTGAAATATCTGTTGCTTTTCATCAGCACGGGACATATAAAGAGGAATATGCAGTCACATTTTAGTCTTGTGTTGTTAACTCTTCTGTCAGTGAGCTCTACTTGGCACTGATGCCCACAGCTCTGAATGGCCAGATGGATTCAGGTCAGCTTTTCTTTTAAGAAAGACCGATGCAGGCCTGGGATGAGACATTAATATCTGACAGTCTGCTACATACAAGTACAAGGTTAAAGAGTCTTTGTCTAGAAAGTGTTTCCATCCCCAACTCTGCCTGAATACTTGAAACCATACTTTCCTAAGGCAGAAGAGAAAGTAATTTTTTTCCTTAAAGACTGAACCATTATATTTCACTAAAAATGTTTCCAGCTGGGCATGGCGTTCCACCCCTGTAATCCCAGCACTCAAGAGGCAGGGGCACGAGGATCACTGTGAGCTCCAGGCCAGCTTGGGCTCCATAGCAAGTTCAAGGCCAGCCTCGACTACATAGTGAGACAGTCTCAAAAATAAAACAAAACAACAACAAAAATATATATTTCCATGCAATCATCACTTAGAAGTAATGCAGTTTGGGAGAAAGAGAAGTGAACCTTAGCTCAGTCACAGCTCTGCCAATACAGAATATTTTAACTTCCTACAAAATCTCTCCCTTCTGGGACACAGTTTATTTATTTATTTATTTATTTTATTTAATTTATTTTTTTTCCCATTAACTTTATTGGTACATTTTAGGTATAAAATACAGTTACATTCATCATTGGGATCTTGTACCATTACATGAGTCTCTTGGTTCTTT